GTAAAATTCTACAGAAAGCTAACATCCGTATCTTTCCAAAGATATAAGGTTCAACATCTGGTTCGCTCTGAGGAAGTACAGTATATTCTGTCAAGTTGACTGTTCTGCACAGCACATTCTGCTCCCAGGATTGCACATCATATTTCAATCAAGTTTAAGTATTGCCTTCTTATTGCCCTTATATTGCTTTCCTATTGTACCTCTATTGTTGTCTTAACTCTTTTTCACCTCTGTCTTGACAATTATAAAGCTGAAGTTGAACTTCCAGGTTTACGTATTGCCTTCTTATTGCCCTTTTATTGTGTTCCTATCGCTGCTCTATTGCAGTCTTAGCACTTCTTTTTTTCTTCATGTCTGTCTTGACAAACAAATTGTAGTTAAGACTATGAATTCTTAGTACTGCCTCTTTATTCCATTGCCCTTGTATAGCACCACAATTCAATTTAAGTTTCTAGCCACCTACTTTACGTTTCTACACCAATCATGCACATAACATCATACATGCACATTCAATAAATGTTACAAATAGCTGCATCATGATCTATACAATTGGGTACCTATAAGGATACCTATTTCCAAAAACAAAAACAGCGACATGTTAGGATCACAAATTGTACATAAAGTTAGGTAGCAAAGATCCCTACTTAATGGAATGAGACATACAAACTAAACAATTGTAACATCTAAATGATCTTCTTCTTGTTAGTGACGGGGATAGCTTCTTTGCATGTACTTCGATAGTGGCCCTTCACACCGCACCTTGAGCATTTTCTTTCTCGTGAGTCCTCTCCTTTAGAAGATATTCTTTGTGTCTTACGACGACCCGGCATAACCTTTGAAATAGGAGGGAGGAGATTTACATTTTGGACATTTTCGGGAATAACCCATGTCCCTTGAGGTGGTACAGGATAAATGGATTCAGCATATGCAGCTGCCCATGTAGCTCGAGTGTAGTACGAAGAGGCAAATGAGTATGAGTTCAATTTCAAGTGTCGACATACCGCAATAGCATGCTTGCACGGGAGTTGCTCTAAGTCAAACTTTCTACACGTACAACTATGGTTTTGCAAGTGCACGAGACCGTTCATATCACCATCAAGCACATTATACTCCACATCATTGATTTTAACCACATTCATCCTTGAAGCAGCGTCTAATCTCTTCCTCAACTTCTTTTCCCCTAAATCGGGGCACAACATAGATTTACATTTCATTGATAAATCTCGACGTTGATAAAACCAATTCTGAAGCATATTCCTAATTTCTTCGATCAAATGTACCACCGGAAGCATCCTTGAAAAACGAAGAACTGAATTAATGGACTCTGCAATATTAGTTGTCATGACATTATATCGTCGTCCGTCACAATGGGCTCGAGACCACTTATGGAGCCCTGCACGTACTAGATAAGTTTGCACTCGCTCATTGTTTATCATGGAGAAATACCGATTGAACTCTGCTAGACGGTAAGACTTGGCTGCCCGCACAAAAAACCCCAATATCGGATCCCACTTCTTCAACTTAAATGAGGCTTTCATATTGTCCTTCAAGTGATAAAAGCAAATACCATGTGCTGCCTCAGGAAAAACTCTTTTCAACCCATTTTCTATGCTAAGATTTCGATCAGATATGACAACGAGATTCGAGCAATCACCAATTGCACAATGTAGTTTTGTGAAAAACCACTCCCAAGCTGCATCCGTCTCCAAATCTCCAATCCCAAAGGCAAGAGGATATATATTACGATTTCCGTCAAATGCAGTGGCAACAAACAAAACACCTTTGTACTTGCACTTCAAATGGGTAGCATCAACAGCAATCACAGGACGCATTGAGGACTTAAATCCTCTTATGCATGCACCAATTAACATAAAAAAAATATAAAAAGTGGTTGGCTGCATCAGTCTCAATGTATGTCAAAGTTCCAGGATTTGTACGCTCCAATTCATAACAATAGGAAGGGAGAATAGCATATGACTCTTCTGCAGACCCTCTAATTATCTTTAAAGCTAACTCTCGGCTTCTCCAAGCTTTAGAGTAGCTTATGGTCACACCAAAATTTTGTCGCACATCTTTGATGATATCACCTGCAGTATAAATGGTGCGGGAATCCTTAAATCTGCGTTTCACAGAGTCGGACAACAATCCAGTACTAGCTTGACGATGGTGACTACTAAGATACCTTAGATCACATTCATGAAATGGATCGTATTTAACAACCCTAAACTCATGTAATCCAACTTTATATGCCCGAAGTTGCCAAGGGCAAGGAAGTTGCCAACAACGAACACACAATCTACGTTTCCCAGATTGGACTGTTCTAAATCGAAAGTGGCCTCTGACTGCTGCTAAACATAAGGTTTTTATAAGGGCAAGCTTATTTGGAAAAACTCGTCCAACCTTAAAATTTGCTTCCCAATTTATGCAAGAAAGACCTCCACCATAATCAATATCTTCCACACTCTTACCATGTACCAAATGAACCCGACTTGTATGCATTTCAGTCCAACTTGATCGTTGCGGAGTTTTAGATTGCACTTGTGTAACCTGCACCGTGGAGGCTTGGAAATTGCTTTCTCGATGTGGATGCACGTTTGGCGTAGAGTACGCTTCCTCTTCATTGCTAGGTACACAAAAATCTGCGACTATGTTTTCAGCACATTCAAAATTAACATCTTCAACCCAATCTTTCCAATTAAAACCAGTTACACCATTTTCAGTTCCGCTATCCCCAATTACCTCATTCCTATCTCTCACAACAACTGCGGGGGGCAGCCTTGAATACCATGTCCTTCTATAATTTTGAGGGTTGCTAATAAAGGGGTTACTTTAGAGCTCATAACATCCGTGTTGTACTTCAGAAAATATTGAACGTCATCATTGTCTTCAACCTTTAGGTGCTTATAGGCAGATGATGATAGAGGAACAGAAAACTTCAGTGTGACAATGTATTTATTGCGATCTGCATTCGTGATCTTATAAATGCGGTCAACAAGCTCAGAAAAGGTTATGTTTCGTGATACTATTATGCCTTTAGCCTCGCCACCTTCATAACTTTCAATGTTATCATTGTGAACCCAGCTTCCGTTGTAGAATACCAATATTCCAACAGTATCCATTTCTGCAAATAACATCAATAAATCAATCTATTTGCATCCTCATCATAAAGTATACTCATTTCTTTACATTTCCAAATTGGAAATCAAAACAGAAAACTAAAGTTCTTAGCTGTTCGGTTCATTTTTACACATGATTTTTCATGTTATTCACCCACTATTTTGAGTTAGTTCTTGACATTTTATAGCTTTTTACTTCTTT